TGGTAGACTTATAAATAAAAGGTACGGCCGTGGGAAAGCGACTGAAGCTGAGATGCCAGGTCAGGACCAATAACATTGCAGATTCTCCTTTAGATTTTAACAAGAATCTCTAAATATATAGCAGAAGCATCAGACCAGATGTGGCAGCAATATTTAAAGCAAGGATGAACGCTAGAGATATAGATTCTGTCGAGAAAATTTGTTTAGCAAAACCTAGTGAACCAACCTTCTTAGCTGTTTCACTATGTCCTGCTTGACAATATATAATTAGATTGTTCGTGCAGGAAATAACGAAAGTTAAGTGGGAATTTGCTAGAGTAGTGGTAAGGTCAGTGGGTATCGATAAGAACATTTGTAATTATTTTCACGCATGTCCGTGTTAAAATGTAAATGATTATTGTTGTGTTTTCTCTTCAGCGAAACTACGCTGTTTCACATGAGGTCGGTTGAAATGTTTATAGGCTGACCAAGGTACTGTAATGGAATGTGACGAAATGAGGCTTATTTTTCAACATAATCTCCTATTGCAAACCACACGCATCTTCAATCGGTGTTGCAGTACTTGGATCCCATTGGTGAAGAAGCTTTCATCCTGTTGGTAAAAAAAGTAAACAATAGTAGATATGACGTCATCATCACGGCGATACTGGTTCCCAAATAAGTGTTTTTTGATATTGATAGTCAGTTGGGGCCAAATGGAGAATAGGGGAGGATGATCCACTTGTTCATAGCCACAGTCATGCACAGCAGCTATTGAAACCAAGGACTTGTGTGCTGGAGCATTGACCTGATGGAAGAAGACTTCTTTCGTTACTTTTCCTCAGTGTTTGGTTTTGATAGTCTTTCGTACACTGCCTCAACAAGTTGGCATAGTACTCTCTATTGATGGTGTGGCCCTTTTGATGGTAATCAGTAAACAATGCATTTTGCATCCGAAGAAACTGTGGCCATCATCTTCCCTGCAGATGAAACGATCTTGGCCTTATTTGGAGCAAGTGACTAGGGGTGTTTTTACTGCATGAATTGTCTCTTTGGGATGAAAGTGATGAGCTCAACACTCACCTCGGTTAGGGAGCGTTCAGGGATCTGCCTCAATGTCAGATTTTCCCGTGATACGATCAACCTGATGCGCTTTTGATCAGTTGCCAGAAGACGTGCCACCCAACAAGCAGAAACCTTCGTCATGTCAAGTTCATTGTACAGAATATTCTCAACTCTCTCATGGGATATACTAATAACATTGGCTGTTTGATTTATAGCCAGTCGTCCGTCATTCATCACTATGTGTTGAACATGATCAATATTTTCCTCGGTGATGGCAGTTGCAAGGTGTCCAGACCTTGGGTTATCTTCCAAACTCTCCCTTCCTCTCCTAAATTCAGCTGACCACTTTTACACTGTTTATAAAGCTGAAGTGTCATCGCTTATTGTAGCAACCATAAGTGTCGGCATGAGTTTCCTTGGCGACTAAATCATTTTTCTGCAGGTACTTAATGCCAAATATTTTCCATTTTCAAGTGAAGTCGTCAGCAGTTACATTAAAAGTTTTCTTTGAACCGTCAGATGTCGGTTTACCTGGAAAGAAATGCAGTTGTTAATAAGAACTGAAATTAATGCATGCAAGAATTCACAGCTCTAGCATCACTCCTTCATAGTCAGCCTATGAATATTTCAGCCCACTCTCGGATATCACGATAGAGTGATTGAAAGTTTGTTTAATAAATCCCACCCATTTGTTTAATAAATCCCACCTATGATAACACAAGTCAGAAAAGCAGTTTTTATATAATCATGACTATTTACGGTAATTATAACAACTACTGACTTGTTAAACAACTGGTTGGTTGAATTTGTTTAGCGGCATATCACTCTCTGTGGGTTGCTTAATGCGGAAATCTAAATATTTTGAACAGAATTTTATGGCCTCAACTAAATGTATTTTGAACGTAAATGAATGCCTACAGATGAAAATGTATTGTTGGTCATTTTGCTATGAAATGTATTGATGATAATCCTACTATATCTACTATAAAATATATTTTGGGTCATTTTACTATAAATAGATATTGTTGCTTATTAGATGGGCTACTTAAAACCTAAAGCAAAATGCTTTACTTTACTATAAATAGGTTTGTTTTGTTTGTTTAACGGCTTATCAAATTCTTATAGTTCATTTTATACTGAAATTGTATGCTCGTACGAACTTTGTATTTTATTTCCCAAAAAAAGTATTGCTGGTAATTTTTTTCCAATAATGTATTACTGGTAATTTTTTATATTTACTTTTATTTTTACTATAAAAATGTACTGCTGGTAATTTTTTCGAATGCATTTTTATATTTTCATGTTTTTCCTAATTGCTGGGAGGTGCTACCAGCCCGGGGCAGGGCGAACCTGGGGACAATAGCAATTAAGAGTACTACGCAAAGGTTTTCGACAAAGTACGCCACAAGGATTTGTTTGAACCTTGATATATTCGGGAAAGATATTAGAATAACCAAGAACATATACTGGCACAAACAGCATGCATGCGCATAGAGAACGAGTTCCGTGAATATATAAAAATAGAAAGGGGCGTAAGGCAAGGATGTGTCTTCTCACCGGATCTATTCAACCTATACAGCGAGGCAATTCTGAGAGAATTGGAAATCCTACCGGGATCCAGCATTGGCGGCCACAATCTTAACAACATAAAATACGCAGATGACACAGTACTGATATCAGACACGGAAAAGATACTACAAAACCTCCTACAGAATGTAGCGAAGGAGAGCGAGAAGAAGGGACTAAACACACAGAGGACAGAATGTATGGTCATCAGTAAAAGGATGACCCGGAAATGCGATTTGCAGGTCGGGGACACTAAAATCAAGCAGGTGCGGAAGTTTAAATATCTTGGAAGTGTTTTTGACAGAGGACGGTAAGTGCGACACTGAGATCCGTAGACATATTAGGATGACCAAGGACACATTCCAAAAGCTAGGCAGAGTATTGCGAGACAGGAGGATTTCTTTGGTAACAATGAAAAGAGTACTGAGCTGCTACATGGCATCTGTCCTTCTTTACGGCAGCGAATGTTGGACGGTCAACTAACAGATGAAGATGAAACTCGAGGCAACAGAGATATGTTTTTACAGAAGGATGCCAAGGATATAATGGACCGAGCAACGATGAGGTTTTGCAGAGGATGCAAACAAGAAAGAAGCTTATACTTAATATCAGGAAGAGGCAGCTGAAGTTTCTGGGACACGTAATGAGAAAGGAGGGCCTGGAGAATCTGATACTCACAGGTCGAATAGAGGAAAAGAGAGACAAGGGATAGCAACACATGACATACCTGGCGGGCTTAAGCAAGTGGATGACAGAGCTGGGAGGGGGTGCCAGAGGGACTAAACTTATTGAGAACTACATGGGATAGGAGGAAGTGGAGAGCCATGATCATCTACGTCCTGAAAGGACACGGCACATAAAAAGAAAAAAAAAAGAATTTTTTTTCATAAATTTACGAATAAAATAATTATTTTCATATTTATTACTTGATAAATTACATTCAATTTTAGTTGGTTCGCCTTTTTAGAATGTTTTTAATCTAAAATTATTCTTGTAAGTAAAATAAAATAATAGTTCTTAATATTTTTGTCATAAATTCTCAAAGAAAATGTATAAATTCACTTTCATATTTTTGGCTTTTAATTATTGCTTTTTTAAACAAGAAACATTGCTGTAGTAGTGAAGGATGTACAAAATAATAACGGTGTCAATGGAAAAACAGTCCCTTTTGATATACCGTTCTATGGCGAGCTTGAAGATTAAACTTTGCCTTTGCATCATTTTAGAAATTTGAAGATTATTAGATCTAATAAGATGAGTGTAATAAAAAGCGTAAAAGAAATAAATTGATATAAATACGAGTAAAAAAAATTAATAATTTCTGATGTTTAATCCAAGAAATTCGTCGTCCATCGCATTTCACACAAATAGTGTACTAAAGAACAAAAAATAAAATGAAAGAAATACTTATCAAAAATGAATAATAATTGACAAAGCATTATGGAAAACTATTACATCTAATACGGCTATTGTAATGAGGAATAAGATGAAAAAAATTAAGTGTAACTGACAATGCTTCGTATTAAAAATTACACCGAATTCGATTAGTATTACAAGGATGTTGAGAATACCATAGACTAAACATGTGAACAATAAAGAACTTTTAAGCAAAATGGTAACAAAAAGGTCACTTATACTAAGAATCAGAAAGAGACTGTTGAAATTTCTAGAGTACATAATGAGAAAAGTGGGCTTGGAAAATTTAACACTCACAAGACATATTGGAGGTACGAGGGACAGACAGGGGAAATCAGCGAATAACTTACCTAACAATCTTGTGTAAATGTTTGCAGAACAAGGATTAAAATAGGTATGAAAAAGACAAGCATTGCTTAGAACTACGAAGGACAAGACATGGACATGAACCCCCACTAATATAAAATTCACTATCTTTTATTCAAAATGTTAAATGTGTTAAAATTCTTCAACGTTTTCACAAGACAAACCACAAGTTGATGTTAAAAATTGACGCAAAACATTGTTGATTTATTTAAGATGTAATGATCTATTATGACATGTCTCTAATTTGTATTTAGATATATTACATATGACCCATTATTGTACATAATTAGGTTACAATAAAACGTGTATTTTATATGAATACTACTTTATGGAAATGGAGATGTAGTAGAGTGGGGGGTGCATCATAGATTCAGGGTGGGGCACGAGACCCTTTCACCGGTCATAATGGGATGGATAACAAAACAACAAACATTGCTCAGAGGTACAAATGAGCTGAAAGTGGGAAACCATGATCATACATGATATGAAAGGACATGGCAAATAAAAAAAAAAAAAGATGATGATAAAGATGAAGAGAAATAGGATGAAAGAAATGCTAAAATGAATAAAAATCTATTGTTTATCTTGCAGATTTGAACACTGATAAAATGGAAGTACACTATTACAGTGACATTACGCGCGCCTACCATACGAACTACGTCCGTAATTCCCGCGCCGTCGCCGTTCTTTGGGGCATATTTACCGTCTGTTTTGCTCTTCTTAACATCGTCGTCTTTATCCAGCCACAGTGGTTTGGAGACACAATTGAATCACCGGAAATTGGTTTCTTTGGCTTATACGAATACTGTGAAAAGGCCCAGGTTGCTGCCGATTTCAGCTGCAAAGGAGAATTCACTAATTTTGAGACAATCCTGAACGGTTCATTTAAAGCTTCCGGATTCTTTGTTGGTGCCTCTGCACTACTTTTTCTCATTTGCACTGCTTGTTTATTGCTATTCTTCTTCCTCAACACGGCCACTGTGCTTCAGGTTTGCGGATGGATACAAAGTATTTCAGGTGAGTACATAGATGATTTATTTGAATTTGATTTAAATTTCAAGAAAAGTTACTGACATGTTTGTAAAGAATAAAAAAAAAAAAATGGATACAACATTTAAATCAAGCATAATTCAAAGTTGACAGAAAGAAACTTTGTTCTATTATCTGTCCGCAGGTTATAGCGGCTTCATTTTTTTAAAAAAAATATTCACAAAAGAATTTACGGAAAGACAACAGCAGTCAGGATCATAGAGTGTCTGTGAACTCCACGACCCTTATCTTAGCTGTATAGTATGTGCTTCGCCAGGGTTACATACATTTAATAAATGCAGAGATGTCCTTCACCTACATTGGTTGCCGACCAAGGTTGAAATCTGCTGGTGGTGGGGACCCGTATTAGTTCATAATTCAGAGTTTTCCTTCTCTTAAGCTGGTTGAAATTCAAGGCTAAAGAGCTCCTTTTGTTCTACTATAGCTGGGGAGAGAAGATTGGATTCAAACCTTTCCCAAAGGAATTTGCGCGTAAGTGAATGTAAGGAACGCGACTGGAATTCGAACCTGGCTCACCGACATCTCATTCCGATCTGCTATCATTACACTAGACGCACATCCAAAGAATTTAGTAATAACTGAAAGAGTTTGGGCAGAAAAAACATTACACAAGTTGTGAACTATAGACATTCTTTTGCTCTTTTCCCTCTGTATATATTAGCAAATATAGTATGACAGATCCTTTGTCTTTTTTATAATTACTTTCATGGTAATTTTTCCAATGAAATCTTCGTGGTGGTGCCTTGACTCTTCGAATTTAAGCGCAGTATTAGACTGGCGACGAGATCTCATCAATTTGCAGTTAAGTTGGCTAAATGTAACCGTAAGTTCTATACTAACTAATACCCCCTTGTGATCTAGTGACTTTACTGTCTTGCTTGGGGCGAAGTCGATAAAAAAAAATAACCTTGAAATTGTTGCTAGTTTAAATACGGTACTAATAAAAAATAGTAATGTCTTCCAAAAGTAACTTCTTTGTTCAGGACGTTGGTGATTACAGCAATTCATAATTTTTTAAAAATTCATATTTGCTGCGATTAACCTTGGGAAAGACAGTGAATTGGTTTCCCATTACTTTCTCTACGGTTTTGGATTTTATGTTATTGTTCTAGATTGGTTGCCCTAACAATGCTAAAATACTTATTGGGCCTGCAATTGGAGAAAGGAGAGATGTACTCATATCTTTTCCAAGGCTATTAGTGCGAAGTGAATGCAAAGTCAAAACTTTGTCTTGTTGATTCTATTTACCACCACCCACACATCCATGAGTAAATATTCCCTTGAAAAAGGCTTCTAAAATAGAACTTTTTTTTTTTGCACTCCACCCACTGGTTAAATATGAGATTATTTCTCTTACGTGTTACCGTAGCTTTCTTTTTTTTTTTGTTTGCTTGCACAAGTATTTTCTATGCAAATAGTGGGAGAGGCTTTTTTTTAAGAACGAGAGAGTTATTCACATTTTGAAGCCCTAGCGTGATTGAGTTCACTCAAGTGAAGTGGTTAGACAAGTTTTCCCAAACGAGACCGACGAACTGTTAAAATATGAAATATTCTATATAGAGGATGATGTGAAGCAAAAACAAAACAGATCACGAAACATATTTGAAATTCTGTTTGTTTCATAACACTACGCTCCTCAAAACTAAAACCAGTTTGGCTTTGAGGCGCTAAAATTAACTAAACCCAAAAGTCCGTCACCCCAGACAGTACCTCTCCTTAATGAGGAGGCTTGAGACTTCCCCCACAGGGAGACTGCTTTGGGCGTGTATTATCTTACTCATAATTGTGGGATTTTTTTCACTAGAAATGATATCGTTAATGTCTCAACATTATCGCGATTGTGTGATGACCTCACCTTGTCTGCCAGGGGAAGTCAAACGTCGCTAGGAGGCGTTTTATGATGCAGAATAAAAGGAAAGGGCTTAAAATGGTCTTTCTCTCTTCTTTCGCTTTTCACCCACGGAATGCCGTAGTGACAAGACGTATCTCATTTCCTTTCCGGTGAACTTCTTACTTCATGTTTTTGAGTTATTTTTTTATGGCTTACCAACCCTTTATTGTTAATCCATAAAAAAACCCAAATCAGTTAAAAACATCTTTGTGGGTTATTTAAATCCGACACATATTAAAGAATAATCATTTTTTTGTGAGTAAATATTGCTTTCTTTTGAGAATAACAATGATCTTTTCCAGATACAAATTCTACTATTTACCCTATAGCTGGGATGGAGATGGATTCATACCGACTGGAATTCGAACTCGGCTCTTCAACTTCTTACTCCAAGCCGCTGTGCATTACACCATCCGCACATCTCTATTTTTTTTAAAGAACCACGTGTCACTCACTTCATAATACTAAAACTACACTGATTTTTGTTTGAAAGATATGCAATAATAATAATAATAATAATAATAATAATAATAATTTTATCCATTCTAATATATTACATAAATATGTATATTATATAAATATATATATATATCCCTCCAACTCACACAACCCCCCACTTCAACAAACGAACTGATGTATCCCGTAACAATCTAGTAACCTAATGTGGTTATATTATAATAGTTGCCAATAGGTCTAGAATCATAGACAGAAGAATTATTTACCATTGTTCGCTTGCTAACTTTACTTCAACTTCTAAATACTGGGACGAATGTGGGCTGGGTGCAGGAAAGATGAGGAAACGTTTGACCAGTTCCCAGAGTCCACAGGGGTATCAGCATTATGAGGAGTGAGCCCTATTTGACACTCTTGGCTTTCCCTCATTTTTGAAAGTATACTAGCAGCCGTTCATACCTGAATAAACCAGAATGATCATTTGAACTATTTTTCGTTGTCCCCAAGTTTTCGACAACGGGGTCACTTTTGGATCACGTCACTTTTTGTGGCGTCCAGCCCCAGCCATGATCGAATAAGCGGTAAATTGAAACACAACCAGGTGGTGGTACGACGCTACAGTTTTCAGAAACGCTTAATTTTTTACAGTGTTTTTATTTTGATTTGTGTCTGATATTTGTTGGAGCTTCGCTTCTTCCGTCTATTGTTAAGAGACTTCGATTGTCAAATTGCCAAAGCAGACTGAAAACAGAAATGAAAAATGAGGACTTAAGGAGATGAAGACACTTCCTGTCGTCATCTCCTTAAGTCCTTAATTTCAAAAAACGAAATTTAAGTGAAAGATAGTAAACAGTAATGGAACAGAGAGAGAGAGAGAGAGAGAGAGAAAGAGAGAGGGGAGAGAGAGAGAGGGTTAGAAGAAAGGTAGAGAGAAAGAGACTAAGAGGGATTAGAGAGAGAGAGAGAGAAAGAAAGATGGAGAGAGAAAGAGAGAGGGGGGAAGGGAGGGAGGGGAAATAGACAGGGAGGACGAGGAAAGTAACGTAGCAGGTGATTTATTAAATTAGAAAAAACAAAAACGAAAGTAAAGCATGAATAACTTCAGTCACAATGATTTTTCAAAGATACTTAAAATGTTCGCCATGTTTGTTCTTCCTGTCATCAAATTCTGTCTGTTTATGGGGAACAGCAGTAATTACATAATTTGGCTATTCGTACTTATTTTCTTCACCAAATAAAGAAAGGAACTCTTAAAATATTATTATTATTATCATTGCGCTTTCTTTTTATCTCAAGCTGTTCAAATCTATCTACATATCTACCTCAGTCTTATTCTTATCTATCTATCTATCTATCTATCTATCTATCTATCTATCTATCTATCTATCTAACCCTTATTCTTATCTATCTATCTATCTAACCCTTATTCTTATCTATCTATCTATCTATCTATCTATCTATCTATCTATCTAACCCTTATTCTTATCTATCTATCTATCTATCTATCTATCTATCTAACCCTTATTCTTATCTATCTATCTATCTATCTATCTAACTATCTATCTAACCCTTATTCTTATCTATCTATCTATCTATCTATCTATCTATCTAACTATCTATCTAACCCTTATTCTTATCTATCTATCTATCTATCTATCTATCTATCTATCTAACCCTCTTATCTATCTATCTATCTATCTATCTATCTATCTATCTAACCCTTATTCTTATCTATCTATCTATCTATCTATCTATCTATCTATCTATCTAACCCTTATTCTTATCTATCTATCTATCTATCTATCTAACCCTTATTCTTATCTATCTATCTATCTATCTATCTAACCCTTATTCTTATCTATCTATCTATCTATCTATCTATCTATCTATCTATCTATCTATCTAACCCTTATTCTTATCTATCTATCTATCTATCTATCTATCTATCTATCTATCTATCTATCTATCTAACCCTTATTCTTATCTATCTATCTATCTATCTATCTATCTATCTATCTGCAAATAGTTTTACATTTAAGGAAATTTGAATATTTTAGATCATGGATCATTTGAAGACATTTAGATAGCATATAAATTTGTTTTAATCATTTCCCTCCAAGCAAGGCAATAAAACCGCTAAGACGCAAAAGGTTGCTGAATGGTAGTGAATATGAGAAAAAAGAACAGTATTAGGAACAATAAAAGAACAGGAAGTAGACAGAAGATAACGTTTGACATTGCGTTTAAATTTTTGACTGGGTTTCAAGAAGCTGGAAGAGAGTTACACAAGCGACAACAGCGACAGAAGAGACTATTAGCATAGAACCTACGGTTACATCTCGCCATTTCAATTGTATGCGTGTGTTCATTGTTGACCAAAATACCATTTGTTTTAAAACTTAAATTATCTGATTAGATATATATATATATATATATATATATATATATATATATATATATAGAGAGAGAGAGAGAGATAGAGAGAGAGAGAGAGAGAGAGAGAGAGAGTGTGTGTGTGTGTGTGTGCGTGTGTGTGTGTGTGTTTATTAAATTGGCTTAGCAACTCGATAAATACAAATGAAAATAAAGCGGAAATAAATTTTCTCGGGATGATTTTTCAAAGATAAAATAGTCGCCAATTTTTTTTTAATCACTAAATGCAACTTGTTTGTGTGAAACAATAATAAATGCATAACATGGATATTGATAGATGTTTTCTTTAAGAAGCAAACTCTTAAAATTATTAACCTTATTATAAAACTACCGTCTGAGACATGTCTCAGCTGGTGATTTTCAGTGAAAGAAAATATCAAAAAATGTTTTGTAGTTTTTTTGATAGCCTCGCAGAAGACAAAACCAGGCCGAGGTACATACATAAAGGAAAAACTGAAATATATAGATGAATAGAAAGATATGGGCATACTGAAATAGATAGATGAACAGACTGAAATAGATACATAAACAGACTGAATATATATATATATATATATATATATATATATATATATATATATATATATATAGATAGATAGATAGATAGATAGAATAGATAAACAAACGATCTGAGATAGATAAACGAACATACTAAGATAGATAGATATACATACATACATACACATTATATAAACATACATATGTGCTTAAGCGGGAAAACATCCAAATAAGAAGATATCTATCTTCTTATCTTCTTATATGACAGTGAATGGTGGAAAAACTTCCCACGTCGCCATTTTTGTTTTGATATATGCAACCTGTTTGTATGAAACAATAATATATGCACAGTTTGGATATTCATAAATGTTTACTTTAAGAAACTAACACTTAAAATTATTAACTTCCTTACAATACTACCATTTATCTATCTGCAAATAATGTAAATTTGAATATTTTAGATTATGCATCATCAAAACACAAAGCGTCATATTATCGTATTTATTCTGCATTGTAAGATTTACTTTTCTTTATAAAATGATGAAATTGAAATTAAGAAATTAATCCGTTTATCGTAGGTACCTCCAAAAATTCGTATACCTAAGGTTTAAATGTACTTTTCGCAAAGGAAAAATCCATTTGGATGTTTTCCCGCAGCTTTAATCGAAAGCTAAAGGATTAAATTTTCTAATTCTAGAAAAAAAATACTGTGGAGTATTTCAAATAGAAATTTGAATGATTTTTAGTCGATTCTTCCGAAAAATCAATCAAAACGGCCATTTTTAACTTTTTCAGAGAAATGTAAGCAAATCTTATTTTTTCGGTTTTGAAAATCCCGCTAAAATAAGATACACATTTCTGAAACGTTACTTTCGTAAAAATAGCAAATTTAAAGTTAAATTAATCTGTTCTGAAACAAATATCACTTACTTATAGCATAAAATTTTCTAGACAAACATTTCTTGAACTGGGTGTCTTGTTATTTTCACGTCTCCATCGATAATACATACATAGAATGGGTTGACAGGTTTAGTATGGTGCACCAGAATTGACATAATTTTATAAATTCTAAGGCCGTTTTTTTGTTTCTTATAATAATTTAAAATACTACAAAAATTTCTTACATTATTGAGTTACCTCTATAATGGTATTTCATTATTTAATAGATAAATAATGATAAATAATTTTATTAATTATTAATATTACATTAAGTTATTACATTTTTAATTTAATAACTGAGATAATAACTAATAAAATTATTATTATATTAATAATTAATTGCTTAAATTGATAAATGAGATAATTTTATTATCTCAATTTAATTTTAATTGAATAACTGAGAAAGAGATTATTTAATAACTGTCTCATTCTTAATTATTAAATTTTAAATTAATAACCGAATTAATTATATTATCTCAGTTATTAAATTGAAAATTAAATTATTAACTCAAACTCAGTTATTAAATTTTTAATTGAGATAATATATTTATATTCTTTATTATTAATTGCTATACTTTGATGATTATGAATTGTTAAAGTTATTTTATTTAACTTGCAAAAAAAGAAGAGAAACTTAAACTAAAAACAAACTAAATTATTTTTCTTAACTAAGTAAAAAAACAAACAAACTATTAAATAAAATAAATTATGCATGGCATACACTATGAAAAGTATACACACTATATAAAATAAGATGAATTCATAGCAAAATTAAAAATATTTAGTGAAATAGGAAAAATACTTTAGAAATCATCCCTTCAAGATTTAAAAAGAAGTCTGTTGAAACGTAGGGACGATGAAACATGGAAGTGAAATGAAAGTATTGCTCGCAGCCGAAAACCTTTATGTCAAGGAGTTTTCTCTAAGGTGGGCAAACCTTGAAACAAAAAAACAAGAAGAAAAATGCAAACAATTCTTGTAAAAATTAATTATTCATCGAAAATTTTTTTCTTCAGACAATAATGTCCTTAATGTATATTATTTATAAAAGTCTATCTAATTACATAATTAGATAGTTTTATTGCAGTTTTTATTTTACGATTTGGAGCAGAGTTTTAAAAAGTTGGGAGTAGTTGTGAAAAAAAACAAAATTGATAATTTACTTTCTCGAAGGAGTCCTGCTTATAAAACAATTTACGAACTATTTGAAATTCTAGAAAATTTCATAAAATTAAGTTGGTGGGGGGTAACCGATGTAAAAATATTTTTATCAAGATTTTCTAAAAATAAGAATTTCAAAAATAAATTAATTTATTTTTTAATAAGTTCTGAAAGTTTCATTAAAATCAGACAATTATTTGATTTTTGCAAGTTTTTCAAATTATTGTGTTTTACATTCGAAACTGCTACACTAAAAATGTTCATTACCACAAGTCGTACAAAGTTGACAAAAAAAAAAAATCCGAGATTTTTGAGCCAGGTTTTGAACGTGTTATAAAAGAGGAATTTAATAATAACATAAACATTTTGAGGTTAAAACTTTGTTTTTAAGTTTGAGGCCTTTTATCATCATGCTATACTGTTTTTTTTTAGCGAATTATTGGAGGTACCTAGTTTATCGCATGAAAGACTCCATGTACCGAATGCAGTATAGATTTATCAAAGCTAGTCTTGAGTTGTCTTAAGTTTTTAATACAGATAAGACTAACGAAAAATAATTGAATCGTTAGTAAGATGAATGATAATAAATCAGAATATCAGTTTACAATAGAAAAAAAGATTTGTTGACAATTATGCCGATTTCTTATATCACAGGTGATTTTATATGCGAGGATTTTTTGTTTTCTTATTGGAAGTAATTTTCTTTTTCTTTTTTACCATCCACTTGGAATTTTCTTCTGATGATCTAACATAGACATCGGAGTTACTGACTGCAAAAATACTCACAGAATTTCTTTCTTTTTCATTCTTTCGTTTACAATCTTTTCTCTACTCTTGTTACATTTGTTCAATTTCTTTTTCTTTCTTTCCATTTATTTCCTTATCTTTGAAGATGTTTTTGAAATCTTCTTTATGAATAGAAAATCATAATCAATGCTACTACTAATAATAAAAACAGAAAATGCATTGTGGAAATAGGATTTCATTGACTTGAGGCTATTTTTTTTCGACGATATGGCTTCTCGGTGGACATGGTGATGACATCAAGGCGCTACGCCAACATAATATTCATTGCATATTTTTCAAAACTCATTTTTACAGCTGAGACAAGCTAATCAGAGAGATTTGGCGTCTTCGTCATCGACATTAGCGCTGGCGGATTTATGGTGGAAATCCAAATGAATAAATAATAATGCGGGTGTTAAGTTTGCTATAATACATTCCAATTCCTTCGTCGGAAGGTAAAAACGTTGTCATGTAAATAATGGCGACATCTGCATATAAGCGCGCATGCGCTCTTCTGAGTCTTGATCTTAAATGGACAAGGCGCTAAACGAACGAACACGTAAACGGTGAATCTTCTAATAGGGAGAGAGAAATAAAAAATAGCATAAGATATATATACAGGTATAACGGATGAAAGTATCTTCGAAAAATAGAAT